ACATCGTTGTTAATGCCCTCGTCATCGTTGGTTAAGTGGACTCAAAATTGTCCAAATCTACAAAATATTATCAAAATATGAGTATTAAGCTGTGATGAAGAGCGATTTAAAGACTTTTGGAAAAAATAATGGCAAAACGAAATAAAGAAAAATGATACGAAAAGTTACGAGAGTTTTACCTGGGAACGGTCCACAACTTTCGCTCATGATGGCCTCAGTATTTACCACTATACCATGATGGCAACGATGTAAACAGCTAACATATTACAATTCTTCAATATTCTCTGTTTTGGGTTGTACTAGCTGTATGTAGATTTTTTCGATTTCACCCTACAAGAGAGTTCTCTTCGTCGTTGTACATCGTTGGTTCATCCCTCGTCATGCTTGGTTAAATCGACTCAAAATTGTCGAAATATACAAAAAAATTATCAAAATATGAGTATTCAGCTGTGAGGAGGTGCGGTTTAAAGACTTTTGGTGAAAATAATGGCAAAAAGAAATAAAGAAAAAATTAAACGAAAAATTACGAAAATTTTACCTGGGAATGGCCCACAACTTTCGCTCATGATGGCCTCAGTCGTTACCACTATACCATGATGTCTACGATGGAAGGAGGTAACATATTACAATACTTCAATAGTCTATTTTGCATTGTACTAGTTGTATGTATATTTTTGAATATCACCCTACATTACAAAATATATCAAAATAGAATATTAAGTTTTATCAGGAGCGGTTTGAAGACTTTTGGGAAAACTAATGGCAAAAAGAAGTAAAGAAAAAAATATACGAAAAGCTGCGAAAATTTTACCTGGGATTGGTCCACAAGTTTTGTTCGCGATGGCCTCAGTCTTCAGTGTGCACCACTACACCATGATGTCAACGATGCAAGAAAATAACAAATTACAATACTTCAATATTCCATTTTGAGAGAAAATAATTGAATAAAAAATAAACAAAAAGTTATATAAAAATGTCAGATAATTTTATCAGGGAGCGATCCACAACTTTCAAACATGAACATGGGCTCAGTAAAATATTACTTCAATATTTTATTTCACGCTGTACTGTATCCATAGTATTTTTCGATTTCACCCTACATAAGAATTCTCTTAATCTGTCTTCATTGTCTAAATATACAAAATATGAGTGAGTGATTTTGGTGACGTTCCGGGTAGAAAATAATTGCAAAGGAAAAAAAAAAAAAAAGTTCTATAAAACGTTAGATACTTTCACTGTGGTTCGGTAAAATATGTTACATGAATATAATAAATTAGATAAAATCGACTAATAATTCTGAAATGCTAAGGTTAGAGAATTACTTGTTGAAAAACATGTTTGATACCATAGGTATGATTTATATACCTCATATCGCTGCCCGTACATTGAGTCGCGTGCAAGCGATTATCTTTAATCCTGTCTTTAATAAGCTACAGTTGGCTAATTTGAGATGTTCTGACTCTCTTTAACAGTTTTTACTGTAGTATTTATGTGAATTAACAACATTTAATAGGCCGCCTATTCATTAATATGGGCCAGTCGGGACAACTCCCACGATGTAATCGGGCTATGTAGTCTATTATGGGGCCACAGTCAGCCGGAACGGTCAAATTGTTGAATTGTCAATGGGACACAAAACGTTTGGGCTTTGGACCTATCTGACCGAAAAATTTAGATAAAACTAGAGAAATTGTTTCCTGAGCACTAGAGTAGAACTAATGACTTCGACGGCAAAAGAAAATGCTACGGTACGTTACTATTGAAGTGGCTATAGTATACAGGGTGAGTAAAAAAAAACTGACATGCCTTTGTTATTCAAATTAGCCGCGAAGGTATCAGTTTTTTTACTCACCCTGAAGTCATTGAGTAGTAACGATTTATTGTGCTTCGCTTCCAAACATCATACAATAATTGCATTAAAGAAGCTGGGACACCACAACAAGCTTGACACTATAGTGGGCCCTTTACAAAATATCAATATAAATATAAAAAAACAGAAATAATTAACAATTCGAGGTTTTCATAAACAATAATCACTGAGCCTGAGGCGCCGAATAATTGTCTTAGTATAATTTCGAGTATAGTATTTTCCATTTCGAGTTTGTAAGCAGTGTGACCAGGTTTTTTCAGGGGAAATTACCACATTCGGTTTCATAAATTACTACATTCGGTCTAAAATTACCATGGTGCCATATTTTTTTTTGGGGGGGAGCAAAAAATTTTTTGGACACCGAAATTTAACATTTTTCCAGACAAATAACAAGTAACACATGGCCAAAACCAGTTTTTTCACCAAAATCTGTTAAATTTAGGGGGTTTTCACCAAAATCAGTACAATGAAGGTCTGGAAATTTCCAATTACCACAATCGGCCAAAATTGACGAAAATTACCACGATATTTCTGAAATTACCGTAGTAATTACCACAAATTGCCAATTACCACAATCCTCCAAAAATGACGAAAAGTTACCACGGTAGTAATGAAATTACCACATCTGGTGAGATATCTATGATCTGGTCACACTGTTTGTAAGATTCTTTGATTCATAAAGTATTATTTTTGGATCAGTTCCGGGTTTTTCCGGGTCAGAGTTTGTGAACAGTGGCAACACTGAAAAATTCATGTAAGCCAAATATAATTAATGTAAACTGTAAACATAAAATAATTATGGCGTCGCCCAAAACAAAGAGTGGCGAGAAAGCCGTGGAAAAACCCAAAGGCATTTTAAAGCATACTGCATCGTTCGACGACCAAAGGTAACGTATAATGCTGAAAAATACTTAGTCAGGAAAATAGATAGACAAATTTGCGGTTTTGCTGTACATACATTTTCATGACAGTACAATATATATGACCGCTAAAATTGTAAACACTAACAATAGATAACCGTGTATTCTGAGATATAAGCAGGTAATACAATTAAGATCTTGGATATATTGTTGAGATTTGCATTCAAAGTTTCGCGACAAAATTTCGTCTGTTTGAAAGATATATTTGACAATTATTCAGTGTTTTGTGATGACAATTTCACACTTTGATACAAAAAGTTCATTTGAATATATAATATCGTAATGGGTTTATATTTCCATACGAAATTATTTGTACTTGAAGTAAATTGTTTTCGTTGAAATCTTTCATCGTGTTCGTTTCTGTAAGGCAAAACGTATGATTATCTGGCGTGGGATAGAAAAGAATATTAAATAAAGAGCGTAGTGAATATTGGTTTGGTTTCATGATTTAATAATATTCATGCAAAGTACTTTGAGATAAAATGCCGATGATGTTACATTTGGAACAAAAACAGCACATGGTTTGTAAAACTAACTTGAAGTTTGAAACACATCCCAGCATGCTTGAGCCATCCATCGGCAGCATTTAATTCAAACTATTAACTTTTTTACTGACCTTCGGTTATTCAGAGTGGAAGTTCACTGGGATGAAATGAATATCCTGCAGACGTACCATCCTGCTGACAAGGATTATGGTCATATGAAGATTAAAGAACCACCAACACCTTACAACTACCGTAATGAAGACTCTGATACCGAATGTAGTGACCAGCTTGATCCACAACAGCTAGCAGAAAGGTGAATCATGTTCACAAAACTCAATCTACTGGAACGTTTCATAGTCAATAGGTTAGGGAAGTCAATGCAGACATAATATACCTCATCTATGTTTTTGTCTTGCTTTATGCAAGACATGGTCGGTTCATCGTCACATGTGTATTGTATTTTTGTTGCCTAACCAACCAATAGCAGTGTGTTGGTTTAATTATACCCACACAGTCATGATACAATGGTTAAATGAAAACATAGCTATAGGATGGTCCAGCAAAAATACAATACACATGTGACAATGAGGTGACCATGTTTTGCATAAACCACTACAAAAACATGGAAAATGAGGTCTATTGTGTCTACATCAATTTCCTTAACCTTCATACTCTAGGGTCATTCCATTTAATGTACCCCCCCCCC